CTAGTTCTACCTGCGCTGTTAGAAGCACCGGCTAGCGATGGAAGATAGGACTTGATAATCCCTTCGACAACTGTTTGCCTATTTGCAGTTTTGTCTGGTAGTGCTGAGGCCCTGTCGAAGGCCAGCATTAACGGCCGTTTCTGCAAATGGAAGGTTAAGTAGTATAATGCAGTTCAGGTTGCTCTAAGTGCTACCCTATCGTTTTCAATTTTCATGTGATCACCGAGAAATTCCGTAAGGATAGGATACAGCTCCCTCATAGCTGTTTTGTAGTCAGCATTTTCTCTCTCTGACTCGTTGACAAAACTCCTGTACTCGTGCTGGAATATGTATAGCCACAATAAATTGTCATCAAACATCTATCAAAGTCTGCTAGGTAAACTTTATACCTCGAGTCCGTAAGTGAAAGCCCATTCTTCGATGGCACTTATGAGATTATCAAGGGATTGTGAGAAATCCTGGTATGTTTAATGAATTATGAAGAAATTTGAAAATTATTAATTGTTAAACAAGCTGATTTACTTATTTGAAATTACCTGTACAATTTCAGAATAGGCTCCAATGGCTTGTAGAGGAGCTCTGGCCAGAATGTCTTCCAAAGTCGTCTGCTCTTTGATCATAGTCTGATATGAATAAATTATAAGCTACTATCACTCAGTCGTTAGAATCAATCAAGCCCATTTGCAAGCGATTTATTGTTTATACATCTCTCTCACCTTCATAGGTTCGAGTAAGCTTGCACAGAAACGCATGCATCGTAAATGGGTGTCCCAAAAGATGTATCGAACGTTTGATCGTTAATAACTTTTTTGCCACAAAGTCTTTAGAAAAGCATCAGGTACTATTTTGTAGCAGGCTTCAACTTAGATTTACAGTATGGCGCTAATCACCGATCCTCCATTACTTTAGGATTACGGTAGGAACTTTCAAGAGGGTTTTAAGCTATGGAGGGTCATTATGATTATATTTTGGCTTAGAAAAGAAATAAAACTCTCTAAAAACTCTCACGTTAGGCTAATTAGAGCTGCTGATTCCGAATATGAAGTTTGTATGTCATCATAAGGCTTGCTTCCTCAGAAAGTTATGCCGGGTAAGCAACTGCA